ATTGATTATTATTATTATCATTATTATTGTTATTATATTCATTATCGTTATTGTAATGGTTATTGTTACTATCATTATCATTATTGTTATTACCATTATTCTTATTATTATCATTATCATTATTGTTGTTGTTTTTATTATTATCAATATGATTGTTATTATTATTGTTGTTGTTATGATAATGATGATGATAAAGTTAATATTATTATCATTATTATTAGTGGTTATTTTAAAAATTCTTACTTATATTGATATTATTTTCATTATCATTATTATTATTATTATTATTATTATTACAATTGACATTTGATAATCATCATTATTGTTGTTATTTCTATCTTCAACCTTATAGTTATCATTGTTATTATTATTGTATTTGTTGTTGTTGTTACTATCATTGCTATTATTATTTTAGTTTTCATTATTATCATCACTATTTTTATAATTATTGCTGCAATAATCATTATTATTATATTGTTATTAATATTATTATTATTATCACGATTATTATCATTATATTTTTTTGTTATTTTTATTGTCATTGTTATTATTATCATTATGATTTTTATCATCATCATTGATGTTATTATTATTAATTTTCTTTATCCATCATTATGATACTATTATCATTGTAATGCTTATTTTTACCATTTTTACTATCATCATTATTACTATCATGATTATTATGGTTATGATTATTAAGATCATTATTATTGTTATTATCACTTTTATTATCATTATAATTATGATCATTAATATTATTATTGGTATCCTTTTTGATATCATTATTATTATCATTACTATATTTATTTCATTATTATTATTATGAAATACACACACACACACACACACACACACACACACACACACACACACACACACACACATGAAAGTAAAAACAATGATAATGGTAGTGATAATAGAAGTCATGAGTGTTGATGATAATGATGCTAATTATAATTAGTTTTATTGTTATTTCTATTATTGATAATATTATTAACATTATCACTATTGTTATTATTATTCTTATCATTATTTTTATTATTATCATTATTATCATTATCGTCATCATCATCCTCATCATCGTTACTATTAGTAGTATAATTACTGTTATTATTATTATTATTGATATTATTATCATCATCATCATCATTATTAGTGTTATTGTTGATGGTGTTATTATTATTATCATAATTATTGTTATCATGATTAATTTTTGGGAGAATGGTGATGGTGATGATGATTATGATTTGCTTATCATGATCATCATAATCATCATTTTTATAATGTGTCATTTTACTGCTAATATTCTCATCATTATAATCATTATTATCATCATGGTTGTCACAATTGATATTAAAATTTTATTGCTGTTAATATTTTCGTAGATGATGATTAATATATAATAGTTATTATTGTCGTTCTTATTGGAGGCTCATCTTGAAGCCTTCTGTAATAGGTCCTTGCGCCGGATCATGGGGTACTGTTGGCAGGACCATGTCTAACCAACGGCTGCACCGTGAGACTGGCACAGGACCTGTTACCTGCACAATCCGAGATCGCCAACTCAGGCTATACGGCCACCTGGCTCGCTTTCCTCAGGATGACCCTGCCATCGGTAGTCTCTGTTAAAGACAACCCTGGGTGGAGGAGGCCTGTGGGACGACCTAGGAAGTCGTGGCTTGGGCAGATCGACCAAACCTGTCGTGAAGAACTCGAGATGGGCCGAGTCCCTGCCTGGCGTCTAGCCATGAGGGATCCTCGTGGCTGGAAGCGAAGGGTGGATGCGGCTATGCGCCCCCGTCGGCGTTAGCCCCCTTGATTGATTGATTGATTATTATTATTATCATTATTATTGTTATTATATTCATTATCGTTATTGTAATGGTTATTGTTACTATCATTATCATTATTGTTATTACCATTATTCTTATTATTATCATTATCATTATTGTTGTTGTTTTTATTATTATCAATATGATTGTTATTATTATTGTTGTTGTTATGATAATGATGATGATAAAGTTAATATTATTATCATTATTATTAGTGGTTATTTTAAAAATTCTTACTTATATTGATATTATTTTCATTATCATTATTATTATTATTATTATTATTATTACAATTGACATTTGATAATCATCATTATTGTTGTTATTTCTATCTTCAACCTTATAGTTATCATTGTTATTATTATTGTATTTGTTGTTGTTGTTACTATCATTGCTATTATTATTTTAGTTTTCATTATTATCATCACTATTTTTATAATTATTGCTGCAATAATCATTATTATTATATTGTTATTAATATTATTATTATTATCACGATTATTATCATTATATTTTTTGTTATTTTTATTGTCATTGTTATTATTATCATTATGATTTTTATCATCATCATTGATGTTATTATTATTAATTTTCTTTATCCATCATTATGATACTATTATCATTGTAATGCTTATTTTTACCATTTTTACTATTATCA